GCCCTGCAGGCAGAGAGTAAGAGCTGTGCAAGGGAGCCATCACTGCTTGGTAGGGTCTGGGAAGAAACAGGGACCTGAGACTCTAAGGCTGTTGCTTTCAAGCAGGTTTTAAGCTTCCAAGATCCACACATCCAGAGGGAAGGCAATTCTTGACTTCCACTTTCTCCGATGAGGCCTGGAATGCTGCCACCTCTGGCTTCTTCTCCACCTTGGAAGTTGGAGGCTTCACGTCCCTTCACCTGTGTCCGATGTGCCTGCCCACTGTCTTGTGTGCTGTCCACTCCAGACTGAGATGATACTGGATTCTCAGATCCAGGCCCAGAGGCTGAGGCTTAGTTGCCCCACCTGTTCCATAGGGACACAGCCCTTCCTCCCAGAGTGTCTGTGACTGTCATCTGTGGAGAGCCACTCTGCATGTCTAGGACATAGTAGGTGCACATTGATGAAACTTGCTCCCAGGGCTGTGGTGTGGACCAAATGGTATGTGGGATATGGGAGCCCCTAGTAAACTGTGTCAAGCTCTACAAATATTTGGGGATGGAATTCTTTGCACAAATATGTGGGACGGACTGCACTTGGCAGTCAGGGTTCCAGGTGCTGGTGGGGCTGACCCTTATGACTTCCCAGAAATATGCACCAAGATCAAAAAAGAAATCCAACCTGCTGCAGGTGCAAGCGTGCATACCCCATGGGCAGGTCCTGCACTCAGATGAGCTCTGCATCTTCTGCAACCAAAGCAAGAGAGAGAGAAACAGACTTGGACCGACTGCAGGAGAGCTTTAGTAGCGGCAGGACGAGTGACAAGAAGAAGGAAAGTCCTCTGGAGCCTCTTCTGTCTGCTGGGCCGGAGGCAGGGCCTTTGTGCAGGCGGGTGGTGCTCAGATCGCCTCTGGGCCCTTCCTCCAGTCCAGAGGCGGACTCACCACAAGGCTGCTACAGCTCCGCTTCAGGCCCTGTGACGCATCGGTGTGCTCAGGGGTTTGCGAAATGTGGAAAAAGATGTTTTTGGGTTCTTTTACTATGATTATTTGAAAAGAGGACTTCCCAACTGCATAAGCTTCAGCCCCACAAGCCTGGATCTCCTGCTGCGCTGGATGGTTGGTCCTCTGCTGGGATGTTGGTGCCATAGCAGCTGCCGGTCCCCAGGGAGGTATCAGCCCACAGTGTGGACCTGGCCATCAGCTAGAACTCTCCCTGCTGAAATGGGACCTGAAATGCATCTGGGGCAGCCAGTTCTGGGTCAGGCCAAGCTCACAGCTCTACCTGCTATATAAGGGATGGGAAAGGCATCTCTGCCCTTAATCTTACTCATCTGCAAAATGGACATAACAGCTACCTGGAAAGACTGGGGAAAGGTTTAACTAATGTACAAGGTGGAATTGTCTAATGCAGCCCAGGCTTGTGGGAGCTCAGTAAATGTTGGTGGAAGCTGGATGGAGATGACCAAGGGGAACTCATCCCTTCCCTTGGGATGGGGCCAGTTCTGCTGTCAAGTTCATCTGTGCGGGACTGTACCTGGGGCTGGGTACTGAGAGTGCAGGCTACTGGGGCAGTCAGATGACCTAAGAGAGTGACAATGCTTGTAAACTGTGCGGGCACAGCAACCTGGGAAGGGGCTGTTGTAAATGGAATGGGCCCTCTGGGGGAGGGGCAGGGCGACCGTCCCTGCTCCTGGAGGGGACAGGAGCTTGCCTGGTGTTGATTTTGAGCCTGAGAAAAGCTGCCATAGCCAACTGATCTGACCTTTCCTGCTCAGAAAGGAAACCAGGCCAGCAAGGTGTGCTGCTTCCTCCTGCAGAGTGGGGGAGGAAAGCCTAGTGGGGGTTACCTCCTGTCCTTCCCTAACTTTAGGGCCCCTACATTGAGGGGAGGGAGTTGGAGACTGGGGTGGGAGCTATGAGAAAAGCCCATGGGTTTTGTTGTCAAATTCCACCCAGATTGTATGTTACATCTGTGGCCTTGAGATAATTACATACTCTTACTGAACCTCAGTTTTCTCCTCTTTAAAATGGGAATAGAAATATCCTCCCCTGTTGTGCTAAGGCTTAAATGAGATCATACAGGCCTTAGTACAGTGCCTGGCACACTGTAGTGCTCAAGAAATGCTGGTTGCCCCTCTCTCCTACCCTATGACCCTCGTGGACCTGTGTTGCTCTCAACCCTTTCACCCACGTGTCTGTGCCTCCAGGTGGGCTGTGGGCTCTCTGGGGGTAGGGGCTTTTTGTATGTCCTTGCAGCCTCAGCCTGGTGCAGTTCCTTGAACTGGTTGGTGGGAAGCTGCACTGGCCCAAAGAAAAGTGTCCTAAATTTGAGCAGGAAACTCACTGGAAGCCTACACCTCTCACCAGAGGCCCACTGTGTGGTCTCTGCCCTATAGAGCTCAAATGGTCACTTGTAACTGACTTGCTGTGAGCCTCTGCACCAGTGATTTTGTTTTCTTTTCTTCCAAGCACTTAGCACCCCTGTAATCAAATTGTTACTTGGTCTGTGGTTAAGACCAGCCTCTCCCCACTGGAATGCCAGGGCCACAGGAGCCGTGTCCCCAGACGACAGCGCCTGGCACAGGGGCATGCGTGCATTTTTGTTCAATGAATGGCTGTCTTTTTCTTTCCCTTCTCTGAAGTCAGGTCTGGTGCGCCTCCCAGCCCAGCCACTTTATAGTTGGGGCAAGTCACCCTGCCTCTTTTAGGTTCAGTTTCCTCATCTTTAAAATGGGGGAAATTGTTGATCCAGAATAATCCAGTGCTCAGCCTGGAACAAGCTAAGCATCCAATAATTTCAGCTGCTATTTTTTCCAAATGATCTCCAAAGATCCTTCTAGTTCAGACCTTCAGTGACCTCTCTGCCTTTGGTTGGGAGGAGGCTGGGGAGAAAGTTCCATTCCTCATAGACCCTCTCTACTGGCCTCACAATGGATTTGGAGCTCTGTGCAAACTGTTTATGTTTCCCTGCAGAGTTTATTACCCAGCCGGGGCCTTCTGCAATTAATTACAAGCAAAGCAAATAACTTGTCCCTGGGAGGCTGGGCTTGGCATAAACATTTACATCCAGCCAGGGGCTGGCCCAGGGGTTAGGCTCTTTCCTGAGGCCTTTGGAACTGACAGGGATTAGAAGATGAGGGCTGGGAGGGGTAGGATGGGTTAGCGTGCCCGGCAGAAACAGCTTTCCTTCAACAGTTTCTCCTAGGCTCCTCCTTAGGAGGCACGGGGCATATGCTTCTCTTTTAATGTTCCTAATTAACCCAAAAGTCAAGTCCTGGTTTGCAGATGAGGAAATTGAGGCTCAGCTAAATCAGGCAGTTTGCCCAAGGCCACACAGTTTTCAGGGGCAGCAGGATTTAAAGTTCTCTTGGCAGCTGTGTAGATAAAAAAGAGTACAACAGAGAAGTTAGAAGCTGGGAAATCACTGAGGGTTTGTTCATCCCTTTACCACATATGTGTAAGCCTCTGTCATGTGTGCGGGAGGCCCGAGGAGCCAGTGGTGACAGTACTGGGCTGAGACTGTTTGCCCCCACAGTGAGTGCCGGAAGCTTTCTCAGGGTAGACCCATCAGCGGTTTCCTGGAGGGCCCGGAAGTGTTAGGGCATGATTGAGGGGTACTGGGGATCCCAAACTGTTAAAGAGTGCCTGATTTGAAAGGGAATTTGCCATCTGCAAAAACAAAGGAAGCAGATGAAAGATTTTTAAATACAATTAGTGTGTAAAGAGAAAAGAAAGGATTTCAAATAATAGTTTCCCAATAAAAATCCCCCAAATTACCCATCCTCTCATGGGCAAATGCCCAGCCCAACATGGTTGGCCCAAAAGGGGGCTGCTGTGGCCTGGAAGTTTGCCACAAATCTAAGGTACCTTCTGGCAAAGAATCACAAGAAAGGGGTTAGGCTAGTCCTGGGAAGTTAGGACAGGAGAGACTCCAAATTCAAAATATACCGCAGCAAGGTAGAGGCTGCTATTGTCTTTACCTAGGACCAAGAGCCACCTCCACAAGAGACAACCACATGTCTCTTCAAGTGTCTCTACATGTTTCTGCTCCGCATGTGTCCTCCCAGCCCCTTCACATGTGTCCCCTTGCTGTTTATACATCCATTTGTTCCTTCCCAGCTGCCCCTCATTCAGGAAGTCCAGTCCATGAAACACTGGACTTGATTCCAAGGTGGATGTGTTGAGATTTTGGAGTGCTGGGTCCCTGGGCTCACTCTGGGAGAGGTTTCACCAGAGCTCCTGTTTTGGCAGCACGTGGCGAGTTTCTCCGCTAGACAGAGAGGGTAGTTATATTTAAAGAGCAGGTTTATTAGAAAAGGGATAGAACAGTAAAAGACACTTGCATAGACACAAGCGGGCAGAAAGAGCTGCCCCGAAAGGGACAGGTTTGCTAAGAGAGGCCTGCATGGTTGCAGGCGGGCGGCCTTGAGGAGAGCTGCCTCTGCTGAGGGAGGTCAGTGAGGAGAAGTCCCGTCGTGGTACAGGTCACCTGCAGGCAGGAAGGCTGCTGCCCTGCAGAGGGAGAAAGAGTTGATGACAAGAAGCACCTGCATAGTCACAGGTGGACAGACAAAGTGCTGCCCTGTAGTGGGGGCAGTGTTAGGTTTATCATCATCAGGGAGGGGCTCATCTTTGTGGGTGGATCGTTTGTGCCCCTGACACTCCCTGAAGCAGTGATAGTTTCTGGGTGTTGCGCCTCCTAATCTGGGCGTTGATGCCTAAGGGTCTTGGTTTCTATAACTGAGTTAGTGGATTACACTAATCCCTTCTACCCCCACCTCCTTGTGTGAGTTAGGTTCTTGACCTTGTATCTCCTTTCCAGTTTTTCTATTCTTATCCTCCATCAGATGCATGTAAGTGCAGATGGGGAAAATGGTGCCCAGTCTATGTTCCTCCCCTTTCATGTCGGGGGGGGGGTTCCCATCACCACTATAGAAGACCTACATACAACTTTTGACCCCCCCCAGAACTTATCAGCAGTTGCCCCTTGATATCTCTGGGGGAATTGGTTTCAGAAACCCCGGAAAATACCAAAACGCAAAGGATGAACAAGTCTCTTACAGTCACTCCTCTGTCACTGAAGGTTCTAAATCCAAGGATTCCCCAAGTGGTATCTGTGGATGGTTCCATGAATACAAAATCCTAAAAAACCCAAGAAAATTAGACTTGTGCAGGTCAAACGCATACTGTTCAAGAGCCAACTGTAGTCTTCAAACATGAAGGGCCCCTGAGTCAGCCACCTCTTCCGAGAATCTAGAATTCTAGACCCTTGGGTTGTTGCTTTTGGACAGAGACGGATCAGAGAAGGTTTGACTCAAGGTTACACAGCAGGGAAGCCCAGTGGGGGCTCCTGGAACAGTGTTTTGTGCATTTATGTCTGAAAGGTGAAATAAGTGATTGGCAGGGTAAAGAGAAAGAACCTTACTTGCTGTCCTGGTCCCATACCTCTCCCCCTCAGACCAGGCTGAGGGCCTTGTTTTCTGAAGGCCCTTCCAACCCAGCATTTCTGCTCCACTCAGTAGCCCTATCGTGTAGATCTATGGAAACTTCTGCCGATGACCATCCTCCCTCTTTGCATGAAGGAAAATGGAGACCCAGGGAGGAAAAGGAGCTGGTTGCTTCTTCCTCTGTACCCAGTTTGGCTGTGGCATACCCCTGAATCCTAGAGAATCCCTGGGCCAGGCAGAGCCCATGCTTGTGCTTCAAGCCCTAGTGGATGGAGACTGGAGCTCAGGCTGAGCCATTGACTCCATGTCTCCAGCACCCAGCCCAGAGCCTGGTATGTGCAACCCAGGGAACGCGTGGCTCTCAGGGTGAGGCTGATTGGGCGTGAAGATGTTGGGAGGGGCACTTGTCTGGGAGGCAGAGTCCTCCCAGTTCAAGTCACCATCTCTATTACAAATGAATTCAGTGTCATGTTCTGGGAAGAGACAGAACAGTGGTCCTCACAGGGTTAAAGGTATGAGTGTGAATTGGCTGGTGGCCCCAAAAGTGGGATCAAATGGCCCAGTAACTGAAAGGATGAATGGATAAACAAATTGTGGTATACCTATTACATGATATTATTCATAAAAAAGAATGAAGTACAACTTCAACATGGATGAACCTCGAAAACATTGTGCTAACTGAAAGAAGCAAGTCACAAGGATGGCATATTGTATGATTCCATGAAGTGGAATGATTTATATGAAAAGTCCAGTCTGTGACATTGGCAGATGTCAGGGACAGGGGGAAGGAAACTATGGATTCCATAAGAAACTTATGGATGAGGGATTTTACCATGGAGTGACAGGAATGTTTTGGAAATAGATGGTGGTAGTGGTTTTGTATAACACTGTGAGTGTACTAAATGCCCATCATTCACTTTAAAATGGTGATTTTATGTGATGTAAATTTCATCTCAGTGCATTAGCATTTTAATTGCTAATTTAAAAAGTCAGTGTCTATTAGGGAAGGATCCTGGAGATGACACTTGGGTGTTGGGTGAGGCTCGAGAAAGGGCTGTGGGGGTAAGAGGTGGTGACAGGGTCAGCATGTCCAGTGGGAGGCAGTGTGGTTCAGTGGTGAGGACTGTCTGCTCTAGAACAAGGCTGCGGGGGTTCAGAGCTGTGCAGTCTTGGGCAGGTTATTTAACCCTTCTTGATTTCAATTTCCCCATCTATAAAAATGGGAGTAATTAAGTTTTTATTGTGGGAATCTAAATCTTTTATTATAAAACATGTTTTCATGAGTATCATATGAGTTAATATTTGTGAAGTGCTTAGATTAGTGCTTGGCACAAAGCAGGTCCTGCATGGGTGTTAGCCACTGATGTTATCACTCACTCACATTTTTATTTATTTGTTCATTACTGAGCACCCCTGCTGAGTGAGGCCCTGGGCTGCTTTCTGGGGACACAGCTGGGAGCATGACACAGGGCCCGCTGTTCTGGTATAGGAGTCAGCCCGCAGCACCCTCCTCCCCATGCTGTGCTTGCAGCTTCAGCTGTTAATGAAAATCGTTCATCACTTCCTGCTCCTCCAGAGCTGCCTGAGCAGCATAGTCTCTCCTGGGCCCCACAGGCCTCCTTTGTGACTTTTGAAAAGGCTTTGGGCTTGGGGACTGAGCCTTGGGCTTGCAGGGACCTTAGCAGTCCCTGGACCTTAGTTTTCCTCCCCTTCATGGGAGAGGTTGGGCTGGCTGAGCTCTGGGGTTCTTCACGGCATTTCTGACCTCCGGAAATTCTAAACCACGTAGTTCGCTGGCCTGTGTCTGGGATGAGCCTGGGGTGTCACGTCTATTGAAAATTAATTTGTAAAAGTTGCATAATCTTTTGGACTGTCATTCTGGGCAGCCAGACTTGGTGTGGGGGTGGAGACGGGAGCATTCCCCTCCCAAACAGAAGCCTTGGGAGTCTGGGCTTCTGCTTGCCTTTGAGCATAGCCAGCTCCTGGCGGCCCCCCCACCCCTCCAGCGGGCCTCAGGCTCAGTGTCTCCCCACAGCTCTCCTGGACTCAAACAACTGGATTCTTGCTCTGCCAACCCCTCCCTGCTGGCACCTCCCCCACTGCCATTCTCAGCTCATCATTCCAGCATGGTCATATACCCCACCCCCATGTGGCAGCCAAACAACCACCACACTGACACACACACACAGAGTACCTGGTCATTTGCACTCCTGCTCACTCCTCACTTGGAGCCCCTCCCTCCTAATACTGCCCTCTCCCCTTGTGCGCCCCCCCCCCCAACTGCCTGGCTCCCTCCTCCCATCCAGAGCTCAGTTCCCTCCTCTCCACCTGCTGGCTTTCCTCCCAGATGCTTGTCACAGCTGTTGCCCCCCCCCCCAATCCCTATTGCACTCACTCTCCCCTCCCCACAGGGGGAGTCAGAAAAGTTATTCCAGGAAGAAGCTTGCTCTCGCTCTTCTTTTAAAAACAAATCTGTGTCTTAAGCAGCTTGAGGCAGGCTTTCCAAAAGTCCTTCCCACTAGTGAAAGGAGGGACCAAATGGGCAAAAATCACAGCTGACCCAGGAAGGCAAGAGGGGGAGAGAAAGATAGAGCTAGAATCTGGCCAGCCAGAAATCTGGGTTCTTAAAACCCTGACTTATTTACTTCTAGACACAGACCACACACACACGCACACACACACTCAGCACGCTGTCATCCCGGTGATCGCTTTGGTAGAATAGTCATTGCTTCAGTGCGCATTTGTCCAAAGGCTTTGCTCATTGCCAGGCCCTGTGCTGATTCCTGAGGACCTAAAGTGGGGTCAGACCTGGTCACTGTTGAGGGACACAGAAGGACACAAAGGGACCATTCATTCTTTCGCTCCTTCCACAAATGCCCACCAAGTGCCTGCTGTGTGCCCACCTCCCTCTGTGCCAGTGCTGGGCACCAGCCAGGACAAAGCAGGCCAGAGTCCTCACCCTCACTGGGCTGTCATTCTGCTGCTGTGTCTGACCGAAGTTTTGAGGGAACCAAGAACTAACATTTATCTTTCAATAATTATTTTTTAATAAACCAAAAATGTCTTGCTTGGACAAGGATAAGCTAGCAAGCATCTTCTCATCACTTGCAACATTTAAGTTTTTTGGTGTTTGCCATCCTTGCTAAGTATGTGTACATGTGTGTGTATGTGCTTGTGTATTCAAACACAACTGTGTTGAAACTGCATGTGTTGTTTGGAGCACTGCTTTTTCCCCTTTTGGTGTTCCCAAGCCATGAACTCAGCCTCGTGACCTATTGGTAATAGGTAATACCTGAGAGTTCATCATGCCAACGCCCCATGGCTTATTGAATCATCCCCTTATTTGGCGGTTACATTATTTCCAGTTTTTGCTACTGTAAATAATACTGAAATGATTTAGCTTTGAGGCTATCTGATCACTTCCTGAGGGCAGAATCCTGGAAGTCACAACAGTCCCAGTCTGGTTCCCTCCCCACCTGCACACCTTCCATGCACCTCCTGGACACCTGCTGTCCCTTCTGGTCCCTAAGGAGCAGCTGCTTGCCTGGGGAAGAGGAGGCTCCCTCCAGCAACTCTCAGTATGAGTTGTTCCATTTATATTTTGCTACATAACCCGTCACCCAATGACTTAGCTCAAAACAACATTCATCTTCTTCCCGCCCAGTGTCTGTGGGTGGAGAATGTGGGCAGAGCTCTGCTGGGCAGCTCTGGCTGAGGGTTCTCATGTGGTTGCAGCTGGCACAGGGGCTGGAGTGCCTGGGTGTTTGGCACAGGACCTGTTGATATTATCCCTGGAATCTCACCACCCCCTCTCACTTTCTCTCTCTCCCTTCGTTTCTCACCTGGATGAATCATATCAGCTAAGTACACAGCACTCCCCTCGGGCCAGGTGCTGCTCTAGGTTTTCTACGTACAGAAGGCTGCTTGCTTTATCCTCACAACAGCCCACGAGGCAGTTGCTGCTGTGACCTGCAGTCCTGACCTGCATGTGAACCCAGAGCAGCCAAGTTATTGTGCCAACCCCCAGCGGGTCCCCCTGCAACCCCTCTAGCACCTCTACCCTTTCATTCTCCACCCCAGACCAGAGTGAGTGTATGAGTATAGCTCCATGGTGTCTGTTTCCTGCTGAAACCCCTTGATCTTGTCACGATAACTCCTGACCAAGGCTTCCTTCGGTGAGTCTAGCTCCTTCCTGGAGAGCCTTCTCACCCCCAAGTCTTGTTTTGTTTTGCCTCAATGCACTATCGCATTCACCCCTTATCCCTTTCAGAGTTGGTTCCATCTTCTGCTTCCTGTGCAGATAGCACTTCTTGGGGAGCCTGCTTGACTTCCTGTGCCCTTGGAGCACTACACCTGAAGGCTCTCAGCGTCCATCCCTACACTGTTTATTTGGTTTTTTGCTGCCTGCCTTGCAGGGCTGTCATGTTGTACACTTGCAGAGGGTGCCCTTGGCATTGTGGCCTGTGCCATGACACTCCTTGGAGGTGTGCGGTTCGAACGGAAACACCGTGTAGACAGGGTCCATTGTATGAATCGGCCCTATTATTGTGTGTCTCTGGCAGCCTGCTGCACCTGACACACGGTATGCACTCAGTGAGTAGTTGTCAAATATTATTATTAATAATAAGAGCCGATAAGTATTACTAGTGCCAAGCACTGCACTCACTCAATCCTCAGAACAACCCGATGGGTTGAGATAGAGACTGAGGGAGGGCAGTGCCTCGACTGATGTCCTTCACTGAGGGGAGGTTTCTACCGGGGCAGACCGCTCTCTATGATAAAAAAGTGAAGGGAAAAAAGACCCCTAAATTCAGGAAGTAAATTTGTTGTGGGGCCTCTCTTCCCCTTGGGTGCCAGGCCTGGCTGCCTCTTCTTCCTGCCATAGTCTTTGTCTCCAGACACCACTCTCCCCCCGGGGGGCGGGGGGGTGGGCACTGCTTAAGGGTGGCCTGTAGGTGGAAAAGCATGCTGGCTGGGGGAAGGGGGGCAGCCGCAATGGCAGGCTTCTCTCCCACATGCAGAAGTCATGGGCTTCAGTTCTTACCTACTCGGAGGCCCATTCACCTCATGTCTCCCTGGGGAGGTAGGGGACAGGAGAGCCCCTATTGTCCAGGGGCTAGAATGGAGAGACCTGGAAGAGTTGAAGATTTTGTTTAAGTCCAAGGACCAAGACCAGAACCCAAGTCCCTAGAAGTCCCTAATCTCCCATTGACGTGGGTGTGTGCGCGTGCGTGCGTGCATTTGTGTTTGTGTGTGTGTGTGTGTCTAGTGGGGCTGGGGCTTAAATACGATGCACCTGCCCTCCTTAGTCCCATAGCTGCCGCTGTCTCCCTGTCCCAGCACCAAGCGCTACCAGAGGAAAAGCTTCCATTAGACTTTGTTGACTGGCTGGGAGTTTGTGCCAGTCCCTGGTTGTCTTTGGGAGCCCAAAGCCACCTCTGTGCCTGCACTCTCTTGTTTGAATTCTTGGGGTTCCCACCAGACTGTAGATTTATACAGGCTAGGCCTGAACTTCCCCCATCAGATCACTTTTGCTTCACAGTAGTTTTTGAGTTTGTGCTAACTCCTCAGCACTTGGGCCTGGGGGCTCTGAGGACAATTGGCACCCGAGTGGGTCTTCAAGGAGCCCACATCCCCTTCTGCCTTGAGCCTTGCCTCTGAGGGCACAGAGCTGGGCAGCCCTGATGATGGCTGTCCCCCACCCCCTACCCTGGCAGGACTCTCACCCCTGAAGCTTCCAGAAGTTCCCACCCCAGGCACCCTCCCAGCCACCCGCTCCTCTGAGGCCCTAGACTCTTTCCTCGTCTCCTTCCTCACAGGTCTCCGTCTGCTGGGGATTCTGTTTTGGTTGGAAAGAGGAGGAGGAGGTGTTTGCGTGTCTGGCTCTTTCCTCCTTTCTCATCCCTCCTCCCTTCCTCCTGCTCGCCTCTCAAGATGTTTCCTCTGCTAGCCTGGCTCCCCTCCAGCCGCTCCCTCCTCGCAGGCCAGCCGCAGCCATCCACCTCTCCTGGGGCTGCTGTGGGCTGTGGCTTCCAGAGTGTGCCCTGGGGGTAATGCCTCACCCCGAGGAGGGGTCCGCAGGACATGTCCTTCAAGGCGGGGCGTGCTGCCTGCCCGCTGCCTCCCCCTTCCTCCACCATTTAAACCCCCGCTTCTCCTGGAGACAGGCTGTCAGCTTGCTCCCTGGCTGCTCCAGCTCTGGGCAGGAATGTGGACTCATCCTTTTTCGCTCTGGGCCTCGGTTTCCTGGGGAGCCCACAGCCAGCATTGCCCCTTGGCACAGAGGCACAGCACACGCCTTGTGTCATTGGGTGGGAGTTTTGTGCTGCTTTGTCAAGAATCTTTACTCCAGGCGTGGGGGCACTAGGGAGCTGCTCCCCTCCACTTGGCAATGGCCTGGAATGTAAAATTTGCTCTACTTCTTTCTCCCCACCCTCCCTGCCTTTTCAAATCCCAAACTGAGGTCCCATCAGCCCCCTTGGTGTCTTCCCTTCCTGCAGAAGTTCAGAGGTAAAGCAGCCCCTGGTCTGACGGAGCTCAGTCTGGGCCTTAGACCCTCAGCACCCAATAAAGACTGGTAGAATGGATGGTGGAGGAGGTGCCCGGGAAGCAGAGAGTGGCTTGATGAAGGGGCGATGATGGACGAGGTGCTGAGGGACCACTTCCCAGAGGAAGCTGACTTGGAGTTTTGAAGTGTAGGTTAGTGTTGGACAGGTAGTCAGAGTGGGAAGGGCATTCCAGACAGAAGGAACAGCCTGTGCAGACCCGGATGCAAACAGATGGTGTGTGATGGATGTGGGTGGAACCTCCTGTCTAGGAGTGGGCACCCTGGCCTGCTGGAGTGATGTCAGCAATTAGCCCCCTCAGCAGGGTCCCTGTTCTTTGTGCTGCAGATCTGGTGGCCAGGCAGGCATGTAGGGGGAGGGCCCTGGAGCTTGACAGGATCAGGGGCTGCATGAAGCTGTCCCAAGACTGCTGCCTGGGGGGAGCAGGTCATGGCATTAGAGCTTGCCAGGCCTAGCTATGGTTGAGGCAGCTTTTGTGGCAACCTGGAACCAGGTTCAATTCTGGTCTCCACAGTTTCCTGGCTGTGACCCTGGGTGCATTACTGACTTTGTGCTGCAGTTCCTCTGTAATTAGGAAAGACCATCTACTTCTCAAGGCTATTACACAGATTAAGCAAGGTACCTTGTGTAAAGTTTTCCTTTATCCTCTTTCCCCACTTCCTCTCCAATATTCCTCTTCTTCTTAACAGGGACTGAGGCCTGAATATGATTTGAGGGATGCTGGACAGCCTTAGCCCTGAAAGCCAACTGTTAGGACAGGCCCTCTCTGCCCACAATGCCCTAAATTCAGAATCCCCTTGTTTAATGCATTTCTTAGGGCAGCAGACCTCAGTGTCTTGGGGGCCATGGCATGAGCACTTTGGAAATGCACTGCTAGAAATGCAGATTCTCAGGCCTTCCTCCCATCTGCTCAGTGGGAGCTGGGTGGAGGGGCATGTGGAGGAGCTCAGCCAGCTGGGCTTTCACAAGCCTCCCAGGTGATTCTGATCTCTGCTCAAGTGTGAGAACCACTGCTTGGGGGACCAGCACCTAAGAGTATCTCAGTGAGAAGGGAGCCTCACAGGTCCTGGAGTTAGAGCACAGGGGCTGGGGAGGGCAGCCTCAAGGGCAGGAGACTGGGACAGTCACGCAGGGCCTGAGCTCAGAAGGACTTCGTGATGGATTTAATGCTTTTCTGTCTCGTCTAGAAATCTGAACAAGGGGCTCCACATTTTCATTTTGCCCTGGGCCTGAATCATGGGGCTGATTCTAACCCTAGCTGTGTACCGGTTGGTGGTGTCCTGGGGAAGGCCCACCCACTCCTGTCCTCATCTGTACCTGGGGGCCATCATTCTCCTAGGGTAATCGCCTGGGTTTAGCGGTTAGCAGGGGCCAGGCCCGCCTAGTACAGAGTGGCTTCCTGAGGCGTGTGCCAGCTCCAGGCGCACCTCTGGGAAAACCATGGCAGCAGACACCATCCTTGGCTTAATGGGGCTTATGGTCTGGAGCAGGGAGAGCCAGCAAGAGATGCACACCATGAGAGGTTCTCTGAGAGCATTTAATGGGGGGATCTGATCTAGGCAGGGGTCACCGGAGGCTTTCTGAGGAAGTGCTTGATGAGCAAAATCAGACAAGTGAATGTGAAGGCTGCGGGGGCAGAGATGGGGGACGGAGAGGATGCATCCAGGTAGAGTGTTTCCGGTGAGATTTTCGGTTATTCATAACAAATCTCTGTGGGAGGCTGGGGGAACCTGAGCACCCAGAGGGCGGTGGCCCTAGGAGGCTGCCTCAGGGCCTCATTGTCTGTCTGGGGTCGTTCCCTTCAAAGGCTCTACACCCCTGTGCTTTACAGCAGCACTCCCCAGTGTGGGAATGTGACTTTGCCAGTGGGAATCACAGGCAAGATATTTCCCTGGGAAACCAGGGCTCCTTCTTCAGCAAAATGGGCCTGAGATCCCCTCTGGGCTTTAGTGAGATGATTGCAGGGCGGCCCTAGCAGCACCACCTCTAGAAGTGCTCCATCGCCCATCCCTGCATCCACCAGCAGTGTGGAGCCCAATTTTGGGTCAAGAACCTCTCTAGCCAGACATGTTCCCTTGGGGCAGTCCTTTCTTTAACAGTGAGGAGAATGAGCCTGATAATCCCTTTCCTGGAAGCGACCAGCTGTAATTAGGACTAGTCAGCTTTGGGGGCCAGGGAGCAGTGGCTGTGGGCAGGGTCCAGCCTGGGGGCTAAAGTAAACCCACTGCTGATACCAGAGGGAGATGGTATCACCTCCCCTCCCCTGTGTCCTGAGTTGAGGCCTAGCTCTCTCAGCGGTGAGGGAGGCGTCCGTTTAGGCAGGCTTATCGGCACCAGGTGCTTCCCATGCATTCATCAAAAAATGCACTGTTATGATTCCCATTTATGAGGTGAGGATCAGAGTGATTGGCCCCTTGCCCGAGGTCACCCAGCTAGCGGGTGCCAGATTCCAAAACCTTAACCACTACCCCCAACTGAGGGGCCTGGGACAAGTCCTGCCTTTCTCTGGATCCCAGTGTCATCACCCCATGTGTACCCCAGTGCACATGCCTACAGGTGGGACCCCCTCAGCTCCAGCGTCCTGTGGGCTGCATTTCCAGGAGGGCCTGTCTCCTAGGGAACGATGCCACCCGTCCTGACCCACATCCAGGCTGCTGTAGACTGGGCTTCTCAGCTCTAACCTCCCAGGCCCCCCACCATCCAGGTCTACCCCTGGACCATATTCCCCCTCCCTTCTCCATAGGGAGAAGCAGAAGCAGCCAGTACATGTGCTTTCCCTACTGTGAGCAAGGGTGGCCCAGGGCTGGTAGGGCTGGGCCTGTGGGAGATTCCAAAGTAGGAAAGAGTTGACGGCTGCAGGGAAATGACCAAGGTCAGCTGGACTAGAGGGTATGGTGGGGGGAGGGAGCAGGAGAGGAGGGGGTACTCTCAGGGAGCCACATTGCAAAGGGTCCTGGGGAGGGTGAATTAGGCAGTGGAAGGACTTGACCAGGTTTGTGTCTAGAATGACTGAGAAAGTGCTTATGGCAATGACAGTGTCAGGCCACAACATTTACAGCCGTCAGCTTGGTGTGTGTTGCTTTTCATTGTATCCATCATTTTGGACACCCAGTTTGCACTTCTCACCAGCCATGAGAACTTGGTCCAGTCGCTAACTGCAAGGACTCATTTCCTCACTAGTAATGCAGGAAAAGGATAAGGAGGCTTCCAGGGATATTATTAGGATTAAGGAGAGCTTATGGGGGGTTTTCATCTAATCGTAATTAATCCTGTAAATACCCCACCCACTGAGCCCAGCTGCTCTAGGGCCCTTCCTCTGTGTGACATACCTCCTTGCTGCATGGCCTGGGGCAGGGCAGAACCCAGCCCCTGACTCCAGAGGGCCCAGCCATAACACAATCCCTGGCAGGCAGAGCTCTACCGTCCCCAGCTCCCATCCCTGTCTTGTCGTGGCAGGTACCCGGCTTCCTCCTCAGACTACTCCTGGGCCTTGAAGCACTCCCGGGAGAGGCCCAGGAGGTATTAAGAGCCCAGGGAGATGCGCTGTAAGCTAGCGTGATGTGGAGAGAAGTGTGCGGCACCTGAGTAAATCATGTTACATCAGTGAGCCTCAGTTTCCTCTCTGCAAAACGGGTGAATACCTACTCCATGGTCCTGTAACAAACTGCCATATGTTCAGTGTCCCTAAACAACACAAATTTCCTCTCTTACAGTTCTGGAGGCCAGAAGTTCTAGAGTGGCTGATCAGGGCTGTGTTCCTCCAGAGGTTCTAGGGGAGAATCATTCTTTTGTCTTTTCTAGCTTCTAGAAACCGCCTGCCTTTCTTCTTAAAGCCCACCGTCCTTAAAGCCGGCAGAACAACATCTTCCAGTCCCTCTCAGTGCTCTGTTTTGGCCATTTTCCTTTTGCTTTCTCTGACCTTTGTTTCCCTTTGGTGAGGACCCTGCAATTAGGCTGGGCCCACCCAGACAATGCAGAGTGCTCGCCCCATCTCCAGACCCTGAACTAAATCACATCTGCCAAGTCAATTTTACCAGGTGACATACTCACAGTTTTGGGGAATAGGACACAGGAATCTTGGGGAGCTGGTACTCAGTCCACCTCACACACCTCGCAGGCTGGAGGATGATATGCAACGGGGAATGTGAAAGGCTGGAACAGCGCCTGCAACATGGCAGTCAGGAGTCACTTTTCACCCTCCTCTCTCTGGGCCTGTCTCCTATCCATAAACGAGGCACCACCCAGCTCCATAGTGAACTCCCACCTTATTTAGAGTGTGTGGTGCGGAGGGAGCCAGCCTGGGATTCCTAGGGAGCAGCAGGATGGAGCTCTGCCCCCAGGACACCAAGCGGCTCTCCGAGGAGCCCCTCCAGCTCCCCTGGCTGGGGCAGGCCCCTTTCAGTTCCTGGCTGCGTGCATTTCCCATCATTCCCAGGGATGCTGATGGGAAAGGCTGAGCTCACTGCTCCCCTGGGAGGTGAGGGGTGGAGGAAGGAGAGGGAGAGGCTGGCGGCAGCTTCAGTAAGAGAAGAGAAAGGACAAGAGAGGAGATTTACAGTGGGAGAGGTCGAGGTTATCAGCGCTCAGGATGAGCAGGAGGGAGGGGCGGGAGCTCACACTGGGCCTTAGAGGATGGTCAGCCTTCTAGGCCAGGCCTGGGCCACATTGCTTTGTCCCTCTGCCGGCCACCGTCACTTGGAGGGCTCTCCGCAGAGGGCGGAGAATGTATGTTGGGGATAGCAGGACAGTGTCACTGACCAGCAGTGCCCGTAGTGAGGGGGGCTGCCTGATGGAAGCACCCTCCCCTTCTTCATGAGAAGAGGCCTGTCTGAGCCAGTGTCCACCCCGCACCTTCCTCCTGCCCAGAAACCAGTCACTATTTGTCCTTGGAATCATCGTCTACCTTATCACACCTCTCTTTTCTTACCTGCAGGGTATGTGTGTGTGTGTGTGTGTGTGTGTGTGTGTGTGTGTGTGGGGGGCAGTCAGGTAATAACACCATTGTGGGGTCTGAGAGAGCCAAATAGTGATTTTGAAATGTACACTCTGCATTTTAAAGCTATAATTGCATGCATATGCACGTCGCTTTAATGTTCTCTCTTGCACATGTAATAACCTGGCAAACTCTTAATCGCCCTTCAAGTCCCAGCTCAGCTGTTATTACCCTCTGTGACTTCCTCAGCAGTCCCCATCTATCCTGGATGGAACCAGCTCCCTCCTTCCCCAGAGTTTTTGTGACCTTCCCTCTTTATAATCTCCCTGTAGGTGTTGATTTGAGCATCTCTCCCCCTCTCTCCCTTGGTCCCCCTCCCTAGGTGGAACTTGTTTTCATCACAGGGCCTCTGTTGTGGTGGAAGGACTAAGCAAGCATGGTGGATGCATTGGGGGAGTGGATCTCCTGGCGTCTGGCCTGGGCAAGGTTCCCACATGGCCCTCCAGCCTGTAGAATTGAACAGGCTGCCATGACTGATCAGCTTCATAGGAGACCAGGCCAAAAGCAGGGTTTCCTTGTTCCTTGTACCTTACTCAGGTACAGGGGTCCTTCACTTTCTGTGCCGTGAATGCCCAGGGCCTCCTGATGACCAACAGGACATGGAGGGGCCTGTGTTGGGTGTGAGGTTTCCTGATAGGAAGAGCCTGAACCCGGGGAGGGGAACAGCAGGAGAGGCTGTCCGGGCCTTAGGGAGCCTCTTCTGTAAGTTCACCCACCATACTGCAGGTGTCTTGGAGGCCCATGCCCGGTTCCTAGGGCCCACTAGATACACGGAGAGTGCCAAATCAGCATTGGGAGCCAGGGTGCTTGCTGATCAAAGGTTCTTCCACCTCCTGCATGTAATTATGTCCACATACACCCCAGCCTCAAAGACAGGGCCTCAATAGCCTTGTTCACCATAGCCCTTCTGGCGCCCCCTGTGTGCTCATCCTACTATGTGTTAAACTCAGACCAAGTGCCAGGCATATGCAGACATTAGCTGGTTCCTTCCCCTCAGGACTCTGGAGGTAGGTGGTCCAGTATCGCCATCCAGGTGAGGTGAGAGCCTCTAAGGCCAGGGCCCCACGACCCCCTTGCTCTGTCCCGTGTCCATCAACTTGACTCTCCCTGGGCTTGGAGGGAATGTGGCCTGAGCATCTGGGTTGGGGCAGGTGGAGCTGGTTTTGTTGTCACAGTCAGGTTGGTGACACTGTTCCCCCTGGGCAGCTTCTCACGGACACCCTGGGACAAAGGAAGGGAACCAATGTGAGCAGTAGGTGGAGGGTCCTGGGTAGCTGTGGGGGCTGTTCATTACCAAATCCGTGGTGTGGTTTAGGGAGAGAAACCCTGGGTGACCCTCCCTGCTCACAGCCTCACCAGGCTCAACTGGTTTTGACTGGTCTTGGCCGTGCCCACCTCATCTGCAGTGTTCTTGGAAGTAATGGAAATGCATTTCTTAAAAATGCTCGATAATTCAGTCTTGTCCTAATAACAGGCCCTTGTCTCTGCCCAGCACTCTAGCCTCCCCAGAACTCCTCATACCCATTATCTCCTCTCAGCTTCCCAGGCCCCTGTGAGGTAACGTGACTCTCACTGAGAGCCAATGAGCTAGCTGAAGCCAAGATGGACAGGGACCTGCCCAAGGCCACCCAGCGAGTCTTTGTTGTGGTGGAGTTGGTGGTTAGCATTTCCACCACTTGCAGAGCTCCAATTATGTGCCAGGGCTTCATTTAACACTCTAGACAGCCAGAGCTCAGGCGGATGCAGCCGCAGACCTGCCTAGCCCCGAACCCTAGCTGCTTTATGATGCCCCTTCTTTTTCCAGCCTGGCCCTGCCAGTCAGCTCCCATCCTGAGGGCTCCCAGGGATCATGCCCATCAAGGAGATAGGGCACCCTCAGTCGAGATGGCAAGGAAGCCCCCTTGAGAGAATAATGCCTTATTTTCCTTGAGTTGCCTTCAAGATTAAACATGATAAATATGTAGAGTACCTGCCACCTGACAGATAAATAAATGGTAAGTCTCAAAGTAATTGTTATCTTGTTTTTTTCCCTTAAATTTTAATAAAGTTCTATTAAAATTTCAAAAGAAGGAAATCTACGACTTGGAGATGACTGACAAGCACATTTTACATTTGTAACATCACTCTTTTGGAAAACCTCATACCCCAAACTATGCCCTCTATGGCCAATGGTGAATGTATTTGATGTGGCATACACTTGGGATAACTTGTATTTTCCAAAAGTACCTAATTCTTGTGAGAACCAGAAGCATTGTGATTACATTTTTCTTCTTGATTTATTAAGCAGATGGTTTGAGCTGCTTACTTATCTTATCTTCTGCTCTGTGACTTTGGGCAAGTTATTTTACCTCTCTGTGTCTAAGTTTCCTTATATGTAGAGTAGGATAATAGAGTATCTGCTTTATAGGGTTCTTGTGAGTGTTAAGTAGGTTAGTATACTCTTTAGTGTCTGAATTAGCCTACACACTCATAAACATCAGTCATCAGAATAATAATTATTATTCTTTCTTAATTAGCGAATACACCTGTATTAAGTTACCACCAAATCCAGCCAGGTTGCTGTTCAGTGAGCTCCCTGGGCTCACGTTTGCTAAGTAGTACCCCTGGGCTTGTTTGGGCCTTGGTCTTAGAGCTCAATATTCCCTACTCTGCCCAGTGCCCTGGGCTCCCGCTTCGCTTTCCACTTCTTGCTCCCAGCCCCAGAGGCCCCTGGTGAGGCTGAGCTCATAAAAAGTGTCGGCAAGGCACTTTGCGGATCGATGCTAACTAATAGCAGCTCCCTGGAGCTGGCCCATGTAGGGAAGGCGATTATGGAGGCAACTTGGACCAGACTCAGGGATGGCACCCGGGGAGGCATGCAATGCCTTCAAGGTGGGCTGGGGAAGGGCCCTGCCATCCCTTATTCCTGACACCTCCTGCCTCTTAAGCCAGGAGTGGGTGCTGACAGAGTTGGAAAATGGGAGCTGTTAGTGGCCGTAGGGAGAATTCTGCTCAGTTATGACAGAGCCAGGAGCAGAAACCATCCAGCCTATACATCTGGTCACACCCAGGCCCCAGCTGGGTGCATGCCTTTGCCCAGGTATCTGCTTATCAGGTAAGAGAAACCTGGTTCCCTCACCATCTCTCCAAAAGGTCATGTTCATGGCCAGACAGAGAGCCACTGGCCCTATCCAGACACATGGTGTCTTAAGCAAGGCAAGGCAGCCTCAGTTCAGCTGAGGGCATGAGTAGGACATTGGCATGGGACCCTATGCAAGGGAGGATGTGGGCAACACTCCCCTCGTTCTGCCCCTGAGGGAAGCACTTCTCTGTGTCTAGACTGAGCTAGACTGAGTTCTGGGAACTGCTGTGGGGCCAGCAAAGGGGGAATATGCCCTCTGGGAGCTCCTAGCCTGATGGAGGAGGCTGACTCTGGCTTTTAGGAGCGAGGCCCTATACCACCTCATGGGGGGACGGCAGCTTCTGTTCCCTGGGAATCCCTATATAATGGAAGAGGTGCCCCTAAGGGTGTATGGAGGCCTCTTGTCCTCTGGCAGCTCTTTGTCTGAGGAAGGAGGCAAAATATTTGTCCCTCAGGGCCTCCTATCTGATGGGGGAACCATGGCCATATAGTTCGGGGACATCCTTATGTGGTAGAGGAGACCTGCCCCGCCCTCAAGAAGGCTGCCACACTCATGGGGAGGCCCATCTGGTCCTTTCCCTCAAGAAGCCCCATTTGGGGCCTCCCTGGTGGCGTAGGGGTTAAGTCTCAGCGCTATCAAGCAATCACCACTGGGGCCTGAGTTTGATGTGGCTGCAAGGCACAGTGTAGACCTCTCCTGTCTCACCTGCTGCTCTCCTCAGCAGTGTGTTTCAGTGGATCTGCCTGTTCTGCTCCCCACTCTGCCCCTGGCAAATCCTCTCATCCCCTCGCACCTCTGGCCTGCACCCCAATTCTTCGATGCAAAAATAAATAAAATAAAAAATCTTACAATAAAGGAATAATTCTTTAAAAAAAATAAAACAGCCCCATTTGCTGGCCTCTGTCTTTGCCCCCCTCCTCCCTGGCTCCTGCCAGCCACCTGATTCTTGGGGAGCCCAGTCCATAGATAATAGCTGTGCAATAATTATCTGTGGGCAAAGTAATAGGCTTGGCTGCTGTGGTGCCAGGAGAAAGGGAAGAAGGGTCTTACCCCACAGAAGTAAGGGTGAGCTTCCCAGTGGAGGTATCTTTAGGGGAGACTGATGCACAAGAGGTGGCTGGCAGTGACAAGTATCTACTGTGGATAAAGGACGGAGGCTCCCCCAGGCTGAGAAGGAAACTGGAGGGTTCACTCCAGGGATTCCCTGTCTCCTTGAAGGCCCAACTGCTGGCTGGAAAGGGCCCTGGGGAAACCTAACCATCTGCCTGTCTGTGCACAGGCCGAGTGCTGCCAGCCCAGAGACATCCGCCCTCTGAGGCCCGAGAAGCCCAGAGGAGGAGAGGAAACAGGACACGTATCAGGAACGCCTTTTCCTTTTCTTTGTAACTAGCCCCCTCACTTGGGGCTGGGGAGAGCCCGGGGCTGCAGGGTCTGCCCTGGGCTGGCAGCTGCTGCCTGCAGCCCCAGCTCTGGGTCTTCTACGGCTTCCCTCCACCCCACGCAGTCCCCAACTTCAGCTACTGCACCAGGGATGGCCCCTTAACTTCGCCAAGACTTGGGGCTCTCATCTGTAAGATGGGGTAAGACTTCCTATTGCTTCAGAAGGAAGTTTTTTTTTTTCCTTTCTTTATAGGCTTCCCATCATTCTTCCTGTGTCCTTGAGATGTGCACTGGGCACCTACTCTGTGGAGTGGACAGGGGCAGAAAGTGCAGGCCAGGAGCAGGTGTAGGCAGACAGGAAGTCAGTTTGGGACTTGTCTGAGGAGGGAGGGGACATAGAGTAGAGATGTCCCAAGGCCGGTGGGTGTGGGTCAGAGAGGAGGTATGGACTTCCAGCATGTGGGGACAGCGAAAGTGGTCGGGTGGGTGGAGTTGCCCAGGGAACAGCTTGCCTGGAGCTCTGGGAAAGAGTGGAGGCCCAGCGTTGGAGGACACAGCCAGGCGGGCTCAGCCCTGGAGCTGCAGAGAGCTGGCACAGAGCAGGGGCGGGGGTGGGGGACCACCTGGCCAAGAGGCCTGGGTCCTGGAGGGAGTCCCTGGGTTTGGTGCCCCAGGGAGTGTGTGGAGACCTTTACCCTAGGAGGCTGGATGTGGGGGTGTGCAGAGGATGAGGAGGGAACAAGGGAATGGTCCTTAGGCATCAAAATATGTGACAGGTCAGACCGGCTTTCTTTTATTGATCTCATTGTTTAAGTGAGTCCACTGCTGGCTACAGGGCTTCTGTGGGAGTAGGTGTGTATTTGTGTGGTGTGTGTATGGTGCATGTGTGTGGGTTGTATGCGAACATGTGTAGGGGTGATACATGCAAGTAGGTAGGTGTTCTTAGTATATGTGGTGTGTAAAGTGTAAAAGTAGGTGTGTGGCGTACATGCGATATGAGCTTTGAAAGATGGTGTGTGTGTGTGTGGCAAGTGTGTGTAGGGTTTATAGTATATATGGTGTACGGAATGTGGGTATGTTTGGGTGTATGTATTTGTGCACATGCATATCGTGTTGTGGTGTTTGTAATGTGTGAGTGTATGAAGTGTGTAGAGTTTGTGCCTGTGGCCATGTTCAGATCGATGTTCCACTGGCTTAGGCAGGCTGGTGCTGAGCTGTCTGCCTGGGCTGGAAACTTACAGACACCCACCAAGCTTGTGAATTTCCCCTCTCTACCTAGGGTTACACCCTAGGTAGGGTTACACCCAATGGTGCACGAGTCAAAACTGGTCCTCCAGCGACAAAAGGGGCTGGGTGGGGGTTGTAGTCTTTGCCAATTTCTGTAGTGTAAATGTTTCCACCGTGGATTGCACATGGCTGACCTGTTTCAGTGTGGGGCAGGGAAGAGATGCCCAGGAGGAGGACCTAGCAGACATAAATAACTTCAAGGGCATCATGGTAAAATCTAGTAAAATAATCAGGGGGGGATACATCTTGAGGATGTATTCCCTTTGTTTTAATATAATTGATTTACTTGTAATGTTGATCAGGATTTCTCATACATCATGAGTAGCATTTTTGTCTGGAGTGTCTTTGAAGCCTCCGGGAGGGGCTGACATGTGCAAAGTGCAACAGCCACCCTGGCCTCCACTGCTGCACCTCATAGCACCCCTCCCCCAAGTTTGGACACCCCAAATGTCTGCAGACTTTGCCAAATGTCCCCAGGGGGCAGATTCACCCCCAGCGGAGAGCCACAGGCAATGGCTGGGTTTACAACTAACTCACACAATCCCTTAAAACACAGGCTTCTGTGACTCTCCATGAGCCAACTCTAGCAAGTCCTGGGCACCATAGCTGGTGAAATATATGGCATGAAGTTTTCTCCCCAAAATTCTTAGGAACAAGCTGCCACCATAATCAGAACTTTCAGTCCACGTGGAGCCCCTGACCACAGAGGGTCTTTAGCCCCTGAGAGGCCTCCTGACAGGTAGACATGTCAGGGGTGTCTTTCCACACTTACCTATTCTGACGTCTTAATGAAATATGAGATGGGAAAAAATGTATTGCTTCTGAATTCCTGTCTCATTTTAACATAACTTATCACTAAAAGTTTCTATGTTCAAATTGACTAAATAAATAAATAAGACCTAAAATAAAATCTCCGTGCAGGGAGAATCAGGGGTGCTGGGTGTCGTGTCCTGGGCAGGCCAGGCCTCCCACCAGGGCCCTCGCTGCCCAGTCCCACCCTGCTGGCCTCTGCTTCCCCGCTACTCTCACCTTCTGTATTTCCCCGGTTTTGTGCTCTGGGTTTGGCTCATTAATTCATTGATTCATTCATTCAAAATATTTGTTCAAAACCAACTCTGTGTCAGGGAGAATGAATAACCAAAGGAAGACACAGGCGCTGCTCTCCGGAGCTTGGTGGAGTTTCCACTTCCACCTGTGCTGCAGAATGGAGATGCAGGCCTTGTGGAGGGGGGCGGGGGGAGGGCGAGGATGGGGCACAGGAGGAAGGAGAGGGAGGGGAGAGGCTGATGTGAGTGGCACTGCTGTGTGTCTGAAGCCGGGCTGAGCTCCTCATCCAGGAGCACCTGTCTCCCTGCTCCAGAGTGTGGGTGTCTGAGGACAGGGCACAGGGGCCTGTGTCTCCAGGAGGTAAGAACGGTGCCAGGTCTGGAGCCTGGGAAACTAAGAGGAAGGAAAGAAAGGAGAGATGTAGGAAAGATGAAGAAAGAAAAGGGGGAAGGAGGGAGGAGCCAGCAAAACTCCAGGGAGATGAGAAGGCAGGCAAGGCCCTTTAAGCTGACGCAGTCAGGGAAGGCTTCTGGGATGAGGTGACTTTAGGAAGGGTGGGAAGAGTTGCAGTTGGGAGAACTGACAGAAAGGCTAGTGCAGAAAGAGGGATAGCAGGTTACATTCTGGAGACTGCTGGATCGTGAGGGTCTAAACTGGGAAGAGAACATCTTTTTTTTTTTTTAAGATTTATTTATTTATACAAGCACTGGGGTACAGGCCAGAGCTGCGGGAGAGTGAGAGAGTTCACAAGAGACAGAGCAGGGAGCAGAACAGGTAAGGACCAAAGCACACTGCTGAAGGGAGCAGTGGGTGAGACAGGAGAGGTCTGCCGTGCCATGTGGGTTGCTCCATGGGTGGCCGAGAATCGAACCAGCACTGCAGAGGCTGTGGACAGCTTCACAGTGCGGCACTCAACCCGCTGCGACACCAGGGAGGCCTGGAAGAGAACATCTTAAACTTGTTCTCCATCCTAGACAGAGAGGTAGTCAGACAACTAAAAGAACTTCTCTCTCTTTTTTTTTTCCTTTTTTTTTTTTTATAGAGGCATGTTTTATTTGTTTGTTTGTTTGTTTGTTTGTTTTGTTTGTACATGCACTGGGTACAGTCAGAAGCGCGGGAGGGTGAGAGAATTCACCAGAGCCAGAGCGGGGAGCAGAGCAGGCAGAAGGACTGAAGTACACTGCTGAGGGGAGCAGCGGGCGGCAGGAGAGGTCTGCGCGCCATGTGGGACCCTCCTCTGGTGGCCGGGGAGCAGCTGGGGATCGAACTGGCGCCGCAGAGGCCGCGGGCAGTTTCGCAACCCAGCGCTCAACTGCTGCGCCACCGGGGAGGCCCAAAAGAACTTCTCTCTTTCCATCAAGAGTAGTGTAATGATCTCCCCCCAGGCCTAGGCCCTCTCATCTCACATTTGGAACATTTGGGCAAGAATTCTTCCCTCGGCGCTGGAGGGGGTGAAGGCAGCCTTGGCCAGGAGGGTGATGATAACAGTGATTATCAAAGTACATCAATGATATACTTTTATCATCTCCCTGGTAGATACCAAGTCTTTATCTATCCCTTCAACCTATGGGGTACTTACGCCCCCGTTTTCCAGACAAGGGGGAGCATGCCACAGAGGGAACTCAGCGTGACCAAGGTCAGTCTCTGTCAGGGTCCAGCGCCCACTTCATCTGTTTCCTCTGCCAGTGGCCTTCCCTTCTTTCTGCTCCACCCTCGAGAAGACTGGAGAGCATTCAGGTGCGGTCTGTGGGCAGCTTGGGATCCAGCTGCCAGGCCGCTTGGTGAAATTTTTATTAACCTATGACTTTGAGATCTCCGGTTTCCTGGGTTACCAGGAAATGAGCCATGCCCCTTTAAGAAACTCTTCTCTCTGCCCGTGGCTGCCTGGTAGCTCCCCTTCTTCCTCTCTGCACCGCCTCCTCCTCTTCACAAATTTGGATCATGACCAGAAAAGTGAACATACACATGTGGGCAGGAGCCTGGAGGGCTTTGTCTGCCTAGAAGCCTGTGGGATGTCCAGAACCCTGGAGTTTGACTTCACCAGACACTCTACCCACTACTTCTCACCCCTTAGGCCTGCCAGCTAGGCTGAAACAATCAGGGAAGGCTTCTTGGATGAAGTGGCATTGAGCATTGTGGCAGGGAGCCATGTGGAGGCCCATGGGAACCTTGTGGGCTTCTGGGATAGGGTGGGGCTACAGAAGCACTGGAAGCCTGAGGCTCTCCTGCCGTCTGTGACTCTGGCACACCAGTGAGTTTCTGCGCCTGAGTTTCCTGCCCTCGTAAGACTTCCTCCCTTGGGCTTTGATTTCTCCATCTGGGAAATGAAGCAGGCTCCACTGTAATCCCCCAGGCTCCCTAAATCTGTGAAGTGGGGGAGATATTTCCTGTTTGCCTGCCCTTCCACCCCCATCCTGGGCAGTTCTGAGAAGCAGGTGCACTAATGGTAGATAAACAGGCAGGCAAAGTTAGGACACAGGGAGGCTATTCCATTCTGGCAGAGCAGACAAGCCTGTACACAAATAACTCTGCTACCAGGGAGAGTGTGATAAGGGCCCTAGAAACCTCTTTGCTGCCACAGCCACCTGCTCCTCACGCCTCCCTGCTCCCTGATGTCTGTTCTCACACCCAGGAAAGTGGGTCAGAATGTAGGGCGCTGCACCTGAGAGTAAATGCCCCCTTGTGTAGTCCCCACCCTTCCCAGCGGAACCAGGGCTGCTCTCAGGGGAAGGGGTGTGGGAAAGCTAGGGGGTTAGGGACATCTCTGTATTCCATATACAAGTCCCTCCCCCACATGCCCATGGCCCCCCCATCGCCTCTGGGTATAGTCTGAATCCCTTGGCCTGGCGTCCGAGACCTTCCACAC